CCCTCCCCACTCACTCACTGACGCAGCCAGAGCAACTTCCAGGCCTGCAAGATCCGTTCATCCTGAGTGCCCCAAATAGCTGGGCCATTTTTATCTTTTATGCCAGACTTTGACTGTACCCTTTCTGGTTTTAGATACTCAAGTGCTTACCATTGTGACATAGTTACCTACAGTGGAGTATCCTTGCAATTACACACTATACGGGTTTGTAGCCTAAGAGAGACAGGGTCTACCACATAGCCCACGGGTGGATTTGTGTAAGTACACTCTATGACATTTGCCTAACAACCTGCTTCTTAAAACCCGTAACTCAATCACTAAGTGATACATGACTCTATTCTTAAAAATTGCTAACTACTACCTATGACCTCAAGTCAAAGTAATTCTGTTCATTTCTGCTATGTTTTTAAGGTCCATATTTAATAATATTTCTTGTTGGATCTTTAGCATGATAGCATTCAATGTTCTGATAACTGGGTGAATTTTAATTACATGGAAGTCGGATTAAGAAAAGTAGTCATAACATTCTTAATTACAAATTCTTTTTTTTAAAATTCTTTCATACAGACTGAAACTTTTGTTTGAGAAAGTTATTTGAAATTGTTCACAGTACAGTTCAAGGTAGGAGCGACTCACAGGACCCACCTTGTCTCACAAAGTCAATGTCGTCTCGTTCTTTTTCTTTCCAAGCGTGAAGCATTGCCTTTTTATTGACATAATCAGCTTCTTTCACTGCTTCATGACCACGCCCCCAAGAGTTGCTGCCAACAAAGAAACAACTGGACCCCATGAAAGGCTCTCTCCCAAAGGCATTGTCCTTCCCTGTATAACTGGCATTTGATACCACTCAATTTGTTACACCCTTCTCAAGGAAGCCTTACAAATAAGTCCCGTTAGGAGCTGTTCTCTCTGAAAGCAGCAAAGCCTGAAAGCCACTGCACACATTTTTTTTCAGAAGTGAAATTTTCATAATCATTGTGACTGAAACAAAAGACATTACAAATGTCCTTTGCCTCTCTGCAGGAAAGTGGTTACTCTGAAACTCTAGTGGGAGCTACTTGCCAGTGTTGGGATTCATTTAAGTCTCTTATTTATCTTCTCAAGGCTCTATTTAAGGTTGATTAGGCAAGGGTTGAAAAGAAGACATGTAGGCACTTGTTTAGCTAAATACAAAGAAAGAGTCTCAAAAATAAAGTAGGAAAACGTCACCAAAGGCACATGTGTAAATTTTCGTAGAGCCCTCTGCTTAAGAACTGGAAGAGACCTTAAAATGTAACTAGCCCAAAATCTTAATTTAACATACAAGAACGCTGAAGGTCCTTCCTACAGAAGATAAGTGCTCCAACTCTTACTTCCCTAATAATTTCAGTGCTCTCTGTAATTGATATCTGCATTTTCCTCAAATTTGCAATTGGCAGAGTAAAGCCTGGGGATTCCTTTATGGCAAGCAGATAAAAAGAAAAGTTTCTGTGTTAAACTGTTACTTGAATCTGTATCCCTCAGAAAATTGTTGTGAGCCTGCACAGCTACTCTTTATTTAGAAGGAACATTTAAAAAAATTATAGGGATGTATTCATTGTACAGGGGGAATTCATTGTGATAACTCCATATAGGCTTCTATTGTACATTGGTTTGATCACCCCCATCGTCTCTCCCCCTCAACTCCCTCCCCGCCCCACTTAAAGCAATTGCAAGAGGTTTCTTAGTTCTGTTTCATACAGGTATTTGAAGTCCATCAACCACATTCGCTCACCTTAATCTCCTTCATTCACCCTCCCCCTCCCAATAGTACCCCCTACACGCACTGTACCTGTCTTTCATTGTTAATTTCTAAGTCAATGTTCAAAGGCATTTCTCAATGGGTCCCCACTGTGGCTGTGCTTTACTTTGGTCCATTCAACCCCTTCCTTTACTCTTCCTTACCCCTTCCCTCCCTCACCTCATTTTTCAGCATCTTTCAGTGCACATCCTTATATCCTCTACCTTCACAGATGTTATGTTTTATACTGTTTTGCTCTGTCATTCTTCTTTCCTTTCCCTCTTTCCCCAAGTTCCATAGACTAGTTCCACTATTACAGACATATTCTACAAGTAATCTTGAGTCTGTTTAATCCAGACAAGAAAGGCTGATGGTAGTGGCTTCATGAGGCAGACTGCCATGAAGTTTTTCAATCCATTAATTAGTCCTGGTTTGACAGACACAGTATCAGAGTAGGAGAGGGGAAATTCCTATAGCTGAGGACCAATGCTACCAAAAATGAACAACCAGATTTGAATCCATTTCTAGGGAAATCAGACTACAGAATGTATTGTGAGAGAGTTCACTAGTAAAGTGTTTGTGTTCACCCCCAAATCATTTACCATTTTTTCTAGCAGAATATTAGGAAAGGAATGAGAGAGTCTCATGTTTAAATTTGTAGATAATATGAAGGAAATCTCCTGCAGGGAGAGCTCTGGAAAGTGTGTCCTAGGTTTCACTGTGATGCAAGTCAGCCAGAGAAACTCGACAGCAACCATTACGAATCACCCCCACCTTGTCAGGGACAAAGAGAGTCAGGGACAGAAATTCTTCCTAAACATCTGTCAACTACTGGTCAGCCTTACCTATCTTCCTAAAGATACTCTTAACCAAGATGAAGAAGTGGAGTCTTCTCTGTTCCCAAGTCAAGAATGATTCACTTCCCTTTTCTTCCTTCCACCCCATTCCCCACAACTTCTGGGACACAGAGAATCCAGCTCTGGTTCTGAGGGGATTTAATGAAATACCTTGAGCTGTTGGCAAGGCCTGAGGCTCAGTAAAATCTCAGGTCACGCACAGGCATTATTGGCATTATTCCTGCAAATGAACAGATTTATAGACACCTGTTGAATAGAACAGGGGATGGGATAGGTGTTGACAGTGTCAGGTGTGGCCTCTCTGTAGGCCTTGGCTTGGCTCACAGGAGGCTTCCTGGTGTTTGCCAGTCTCCCCATGCTGAGCTCTCTCCTTCACTCCATTTCCCATGGGGTCTAACCACATGACTCTCCTTCCTGCTACCTGAAGGCAGATGAAAGATGGGGTGTGGGCTTAGCAAGGTCGCTGCTTCTCCCTCTTCTCTTCCCCATACACAGATTCTATGCCCTCCTTTCCTGTAGACCGTTGACTTTCAAGAATTTTTTTGATTAAGTGTAAATTTCATTAAAATTACCACCACTGTGATCAAGCAACTGAACAAAAACAGCCCAAAAAATGTTCTCTTGGGTCCCCATCCAGTCACTGTCACACAAAGAGTAAGTAATATTCTGATTGCTAACACCATGTATTAATTGTTCTGGCTTTTAAGCTATACATACGTGAAACCAAATGGTACCTGCCCGTTTAGACATGATTTTACTCAATATTGTTTTTGTGAAATTCATACATGTTGCATGTATCCATAGTCCAAGAAACTACATTTGAAATTTGAAAAAAGTCAACAGTTGAAACTCTTCCAGGAATGGGGGGAGGAGGGAGGATAAAGGAGGATGATGGAGGGGTGAATTCAACTATGATATATTGAAAGAACTTTTGTAAGTGTCACACTGTACCTTCAGTACAACAATAATTTTAAAAAGAGGGGGGAAAGTGTGCTAACTATTCTTTCTATTTGTATTTTTATACCAATCTAAAATCCCCTTGTAGCAATGTGATAAAAAAAAGGGGGGGGACTCAAAAACTCAAAAAGAAAAAAGAACAAAATTAATGCATAAAGATTTTATCTTCTAAAAGGTGCAAGTTGTTAAAAATATCCTTTGATTTTGCTAGCATACTCATAGTATACATGATTTTCTTTTATGCATTGAATGTGCATTTATAATTTCAAGTAGATTATTTTAAAATATTTTAAGCCAGGCACAAATGACTCATGCCTGTAATCTTAGCTACTCAGGAGGCTGAGATTAGGAGATTTTTGCTCAAGGCCACCCCAGGCAAACATTTCACAAAACCCTCTCTCACTGATTTGCTGGTGGTGGTGGTGTATGCCTGTTATCCCTGGTTGCAGAAGGTTGAGATCAGGAGGATCACAGTTCCAGGTTAGCCTATGCAAAAAATTTGTTAAGCTCTAGAGAAATTATTACACATTTGGTAAATTTTTGTCCATGTTAACCAGGAACATGTACAATAATGTTTACAGAAGCTTTTTTGGCAATAGAAAAGGCAGAAAGGAATTAAAATCAAGAAAAGGAAAAGACTAAACACAGCAGCCCAAATACCCATCAATAATAGAATGGGTAAATAAATTGGGACAAAGTCTTATAGTGGAATAATAGTACACAGCAATGAAAAACGAATGGCCTATAACTATACGCAACAATGTAGATGAATTATGCAAGAAAGTAATTTTGAGTGAAAGAATAAAGTCACAAGGCAAATGTATCATTTGATTGTATTTATGTAAAATTCAAAACTGGGCAAAACTAAATAATGTACTACTTAGGAAAACTTACATAGGTGTAAAACCTCCCCGAACAGCAGGAGAAGGATCACTGTAGAAGTCAGCATGTATGATGGTTGCTGCTCAGCGAGGGAGAGAGTTGCCATCCGCATGTGGTGTAGAAGAGGCTCTCAAAAGCAGTAACGCTCAGTCTTGGACTTTGTGATCTGCACATAGACATTCCTGATTGCTCATTGACCTGTGTGTTCATTTGTGCTCGTGCTTTGATGTATGCTGTATATTTTTTAATTAAAGAAATTGTAAAATCCAAGGACACCAAATCAGGTATCTCAATTCATTCGGTTAAAAGGGCACCAAGAAATCTGAATTTTTATCAACTTAGTTCCCATGGTCATTTTGATCAAAGTAGTCAAAGGACCACATTTTGAGTATTTTCAGAGTTTGAAGTTGTCACCCTTGGAACTTGGCATCTCCCAAAAACTTACAACATAATTAAATGAGCACACAACTCTTCCAGTTCCAAAAATTATTACTTTACTATACAAAACACAAAACATTTACAAAGGAAAATCAAAATAACTGCATTTTAAACCAAGTTAGTCAAGTTACAAAGATTTCAATGAACAATCATCATAAAACATCTCCTTACCATGCCGTACCATACAGAGAAACCCGGTCAACCATACCATCAGTTGAGGTATTTAGTACCTGAAAGTCAACCCAGTGCCCTCTTTGTTTATAATTTTCCTATAAAAAAAATAAGACCCTGGCTTTTTTTTTACACCTGAAATTATTGTCAATAGAATTCATAGGATCCAAATTTTGTTTAAAAATTTAAAACATAAGAAAGATAATACTAGTCAGCTGCCAGTCAATATTAACATTAAATTTTCCTAAGATGCATTAAGTTATAACAGTCAGTCCAAACAGCACTGTGAGCTGAATATAGAGTGCTGCTATACCAAGCAAACTTGCCTTGGCATAATTTTATTTTACATATGTACAGGTCATGTCATTATATGTACACATCTGAGAATCCCTTCCTGTCATCTCGTCTCAAGGGCAGTGACTTTTTTTGCTGCATTCTCTGTGAAGTCTTTTGCTCTTGATGGTGGAACGATGATTTGGTCTTACAAATCGTGTTTCCGGGTGAACCTTTCAGGTGTTAGCTACACTTTTGCTTTCTGTGCCTCGACAAGACTGTATGATCCTTTCATGTTGGCTTTTCTTGCAAAGTAGATAAGCATCCCAATGGCAGGAATTATTAGGGAGGAAGCACAATAGAGCACCAGAAGTTCAGGAGAAAAATAATCCTTGTTATTTACTCTTCCTGGAAAATAACCAAAGGGATGCAATTAATGTCCAGTACAAAAAGAAATCTTTTAATAATAAGTGTTTTATTATAACAGTACAAGTAGTTCTCCAAAGAGATGGAAATCAAAAAGTGATGAGAGACTTCAGGACCCCAAATTCATATTTCTCTAAATTATCAAAATAACTAGTTAGTGGTTGCTATGTTCATGGCAGAGCTAAACAAGACAGCTGTTGACTTCTACAAACTTGAATAAAAAAGATTCAGTTTCGGGTGTAAAATGGAAGGGAACGTGCAAGACTTTAGGGAGCTGTCATAAGAGCAGGAATCAGAGAGGGGTGCTTGTTTGATGATTAAAGTACTGGGATTTTAGTCATCCTGAATTGAAATGACTCACCAGTTCTCCAAAAACTCCTCGTAGCATTTACAATGTGACCGTTATCATCACATATAGTGAGACAGTAAGAGGGAGAATTCTCGTTGAAGGTGTGCATATGCTTATGTGTTATGCTTTGTATGTCCAAAGCAGGGGCATCTTAATATGTGTCATTTCTCGTCAGCATTTATGTCCTCTCTGACTTACTGAAGGTCTTTGATAGTATTGTGTGTCAGCGTAAACATTACTCACTCTGATCTACGTCTCCCCTAAACTAAATTAAGAACACTAACATACTCTCAAACCACCCGCCATAATTTCTCCTAATAGCCCCCATCATAGCTTCTGACTAACGTGTGTCCATATGATTACCTGTTAAATTTGGTGCCTTCTGCTGACTGTAAGCTACATAAAGACAGGGATGTCTGGTTTTTTTTGGTCTACCACTGAATAGCCATCACTTAACGTCACTACTTGGCATAAAGGGAACTTGTAAAATCTTTTTTGAACGCTGATTTTTTTTTCTTTTTAAATCTGTCATTTTGCCATTTAATCATAACTAGAGTGCAGGAGATAATAGTAGACAAAAATTTTTAAATTAGTAATCTTCCTACCCTACTGGGAAATCATCTGACAGCAACACTATTGTTTAACATCTGAACCGTGTAAGGACATCTGCAAAGAACACAGCATTGCTTCTGTCTACACTTTGTTCTCACAGCACTGCGTGATGGTCTCACGATTAAATTTCACTAAGTGGTGTATGTGTTGCCTCAGTCCTGGCAGGAAGTAGTAATCTGTCTTTGGGCATCACTGCATTCCTTCTGGAGCTTTCTAAACACTGAAAGTCACCCAAGTAGAAAAGAATCATTAGTATCAGATGATGTGAAGTGAGTTTTTTCAAATTACTGAACAAAAAACACTTCATTCTAAACTTAATGATATTTGCCTCATTTTTCTATTTTCTCTGGTAGAGTTGAGCTAATCAAAGTATTAGAGTAATATTTTAATGGGGTATTCATCATCATAATTGTGACTAAGTATCAGTATTGATGACATACGGGGCAAAAATATTTCTAACCCTACTATTTTCCTTTCAACTTGATAAATGCTATCTTTTGCCTTCCAGTTTTTCCCTCAGGCATCCACAGAAAAACAGATTCACTATTGAGTCAATTGCCAAGGCAATCTTTTAATAAGATTTTCTATTAGTTATATAAACACTGAAAATCTCAGACTACTCCTGACCATTTCCATCAATCGAATAAAGTCAAGCCAAGATGAAACAAAATAATTTAAAAACCCAGCAAAACACAAAGGAAAATGAATTCAAAATCTCCCCAAATGTCGAACTTCGGTCTTCCATTCATTTCCAGCTGTTTTAAACCATAGTCATTGTGAGGAATGAATTTGCACTTCTAGCTGAGTGCCTAATATTCTTTGTTCATTTAAATAATGAATAAAGAGTAGCAAATATGTAAGTGATTAATTTAATAAAGCGATTAGAAAAGAAATGCATGAAAGAGAAAGAGTTTAAGAGTGAAGAAGAAGCTTTAATGTCTTAATAAAATGTTCAGAGTTCAGTTTCTGGGGCTAGGGTGAATTACAAGTGGTCAGAGGCATCCAGAATTAAAGAAAATAAGAAGAAATGAATTTCATAACTGAGACTTCAACTTGTCTAGAATCATCCCCAACCTCACTGGAAGCACTTATTCCATAAACCCCTGTGTGGTTCTGGGTGACACCATACAAGGTAAGAACACACAGTGACTTTATTGGCTAGGTCAGCTCTTCAGGATCACCACTGCCACTGAGTGACTGTCAGTTTTGGATGTAATTAGGATGTTTCTCCTTTAACATTTCCAGAAGGCTGTATTGATAATGCTATGTTTTGAGGAGGTACAGCAAAGACAGAAAATGTATGGCAAGGCTGGTAATCTTGAAAAACTTGGCCAGGTTAGTAACTTTTTACTTACTTTTTGACTTTGGCTCTGATTTCTCTACATTGACAAGTAGTTGCTAACTCTGATAGTCCACACCAGACCTCTTACGAGATGGCATTTATTTGCAGGACTATTCACTCAGCAGCCAAGAAGTGCCCCAACTACACAATAGGAGCTCATTAGCGTGTGAGAAGTGTGAGACTGATTAGTGAAGGCTGACAGAGTTCCCTTATTCCAATCAGATCAACAGATCCTACTTGCTGTGCATTCACAAGAGGGAGTAAGACATTAATCCCCTTCCCCCACCATGTTTTTTTTTTTCTCATGAGGCCATTGCCCACTGTCTCTCTCTCATCACAATAGGGTAGGGGTGGAGGCATGGGGTTATTCTATAGTCTAGAGATCTTTTTGTGTTACTAGGATCAAGATTGCCATTCCTGATTGTCTTGAAAAGAATCACTCAAGAAAATATGAAGCGACTCCACATGTTCAGAAAACAGCATTCCTTCCGGTAGGAAGGAGGGTCTGGATAGAATTCCTTTTTTCCGATGGGCCTCACCTGCTTGTTTAGTTTCCCTGTAACTAAAAACCATGGAAAGGTTTTGAAAATATGGCGAAACACTTAGCAAATCCAAGGCCTCAGAGACCAATGATGAATTGTCAACTTTGAGAAAAAGCACATGGGAATTCCACTTTCAGCAACGCTTCACGTCAACTTCCTCGCTAAGCTCTGGAAGATAGAACAGCTGTTCCTAATTATTTCAGGACCTAACCACAGTCAACACGAAATTCAGCCTCATTTTGCCAGCCCACTCACCTAATATGAGAATGTTATTAGCACGCACAGAACCTCTGGACAATCACACACCCACACAAAAGTAAAACGAAAAGCACACCTTTAACATCAAGTGTTAAACTCCTCGACTGGGAGCCGACTTCATTTTTCGATTCGCACTCGTACACGCCTGCATCCTGCAGCTGGGCTTTGCGGATGGTGTACGCGCCATCAATAGACTTCAGCACCGTGTCCCCCGACTCCGCTTTTTTCTTCAGGATTATCCAAGTCTCTGGAACATTTGCACATGTGCAGGAGATAATGACGGTATCTCCTTCCTTGACGCTCTCAGAGGGAAAAGCTGTAAGCTGCATGTCTTTTGGAGAAACTGAAAAGAGAATTGAAAATGTACTTCTGATTGAGTGAAGGATAAAACCACTTCCGTATTAATCTAACGACACCAACAGTAGCCACCAAGGAGCTTGCTGTTTGCGTGAAATGTTAGGAAAGACGAGTGAGGAAGTCAAGCATTTACTGAATCATTGCCAGTGACGTGGCAACTACTTTTTGCCATGGTTCTAGAGGTTGAAATCAGGGCTTTGTCTTCCCAGGTAGACACTCTGCTATTTGAGCCACTCCACCTGCCTTTTTTGCCCTGCTTATTTTTCAGATAGGGTCTTGCTTTATGCCTGGACTGGGCTGAACCTGTGTAGCTGGGATGACAGGTATACACCACAGCACCCAGCCATTGGTTAAGATGAGGTCTTGTGAACTTTTTTGCCAGGCTAGCCTGCAATCTTGATCTCCCTGATCTCCACCTCCCAAGTAGCTAGGATTAGTTTGAGCTGCTGTGCCTGGCTAATAATTGTGTCTTATGCTTTTTCCACGCCCCTTAATAGAATTCTTTGGCTTAGCCAGCACAAAGAATAGGTATTCAATAGCCATAGAATTCAACCGTGAAAAAAATTAAAAATTTTTGTCACACTGTGTACCAAACTTTCCCTTGAAGTACAAAGGTCTCTGCAGACTTCTGAGTTTTGAGCTAGATCCTCCCAGAAGGAAATGAAGTTGTACAGAGATGGGCTTTATGCTTTCCTTAACAACATAGTCACCATTTATCAAGTTCCAAACTCTGCTACAACCCCGACAGGAAAGTACCAGATCACCATTTTATAAAAGACATTCCTGGTAAGGTCATCTATTTTTTTATTTTATTTGAGACTCTTTCCCCACCCAAAGCCACAGTGGCATGACATCCATCCTAAAGGGTTTTTGCCTTTTTTTTTTTTTAAGGGGAGGTTGGTTGTTGTTTTGTTGTGTTGCTGCTGTTTCTTGAGATAGGGTCTCCCTATGTATCCCAGGTTAGCCTCAAACTTGTGATCCTCCTACTTTAGCATCTAAAGGTTTTCTTTGAGGTTGTACATTATCCTTCCAATGTTCTTACTATAAAATATAAATCAAATGGTAGAGCGCCTGCCTAGCAAGCACCAGGCCCTGAGTTCCAACCCTAGCACTGCCAAAAAATTATAGATGGAGAGAGACAGAGAGGAGAGGGATCACTGAAATGAGCTAACAAGAAATCATTAATATCTTGGTGGGACTAGTACCATAAACCCAAGCGATACAAGAGTAAATGACAGCCTTGGAGAAGAAAAGTACCCCTAATGCTCCAAAGGGAAGGTGTGGGGACAATCCCAATAGATCACTTCATGATTTTGTTCTTCAATGTGCCAAGTAGAGCTTGTTTTGCTCACAGCCTTGGGTCTTCATCCTGGAGAGGACAGACACACATCTGATGACTTGACCCACTCCAGTGGTTTGATGTCACCAGGCACCAGGGCACCATCACTGATACTCTTAATCTCTGAATTTATTAAAGGTGCCTTCCTAGCCTTGTAAGCAAATATTAACAGGCGTCTTGTGAGATTATCCCTCATGGCCCAGTCTAGCCTGATATGGTGGTTTTAAGCCTTCACAGCTTCCAAATACATGTATCTCTTCCTAGCCTTACTTTAATACTGTAAGGAATGCCACAGGGTCACTGGGCTAACTTGAGTTTAAGAGAATTTGGAGGTAAGTGACTTGGCCTGGTTCACGAGAAAGTACCATTAAAGGAGCTCTTCATGTGTAATATGAACTCTTTAAAAACCCTCAATACTCTTTTTTTTTCCTTGGTGCTGGGGTTTGAACTTTGGACTTCAGGCTTGCTAGGCAGGTGCTTTACCACTTGAGCCGTGCCTCCAGTGCCCTTTTTAGCTCTGGTTATTTTGGAGATAGGGTCTCATTTTTATCCCAGGTTGGCCTAGACTGTGATCCTCCTACTTTCGCTTTCCACTGCTGCTGGGATGACAAGCATGGAACACCGAACCTTATTGGTTGAGATGGTGTATCCTGAATTTTTTTCCCGGGGTGACCTCAGACTGTGATTCTATTGATCTCAGCCTCCCAAGTAGCAAGGATTACAGGCATGAGCCACCAGTGCTAAAAACCTTCAATACATTTTTAAAGTAAAAGTTTTTGCTTCCAAAGAGGATTTTGTTCATAATCAGAAACATAATATAAAAGGCACTACTAATGATTACTCAAAAATCACACTCTGCTCACCTTGGATGATTAATTCAACTTCTTTTCTGCTTATTCCAGCCTGGTTAATCCCTTCACACACATAAATGCCAGAATCTTCCATTTTTGTAGAAGGTAAGGTGAGAGTTGTATTCTCAGAAAGGGGCTGAACATCCCCATTATTTAGCTGTCTACTCCACAGGGTTTTTGGAGCTGGAAAGCCATCACTGTAGCATGTCATATTCACAGAACTGCCCTCCTCCAGGATGGAGGAGGGGCTGACCAAGATGGTAGGATCTTTGGGGGCGACTGAAAAGGTAGAGACACTTGTTAGTTTGACATGCTTAGGCCCTGAGTTCCAAAGAGTTTTAAAAGTGTTGCAAAACTATTATGGATTCAGTGGATTGGAAAAGTTTATAAATCTTGATAACTAGCACGGGAGGTTTCTGTCCCCGCTTACTTTGGGTGATGCAGAATAATAGATAAAACATGGACAAAGGTGGGTATTTTCTAGTGGAAGTAAGTTCTACAGAACTCTTTTACTACCAGAGCATGGGTGGTCAGTGATAGAATCTTGCCATTTGATGCATTAAGCATGACTGTTTCTTATTTGAGTCTCCTCTGTGTATAAACAGAATCTGTTTTTCTACCCATTGAATCTGGCTGGCCTTTGGACTCACTTAGACCAGAGGAATGTGGATGAATTGACACCATGGGACTCCCAAGCACACAGCTTTAGAGGCTGCCTGCATTATCACCTCCCTGAAATGTTGCAAATGCTGTGCTCTGGAGAGTAAACGTCGCTACCTCCCCTAAGGATGACACTACGTGAAGATAGGGAGACCCCAGACATGTACTCAAGGCCATCTGAGTCCATCCACCCTGATGATCATTAACTGAACACGTGTGAATCAGTTCTGCTGATACCATGCTGAGCAGAATATCTGCCCAGCTGGCATTCCTGAATCCCAATGCATAGAATCATAAACAAATAAATGGCTATTATTTTACATTTGGGGGATGGCTTGCCATGATCATTATTGTTTGGACTTTTCTTTTTGATTATTGTTTTTGCACGGAGTTTTTAGCTGTTAACCTTCTGCTAACTTTTGCCTGGCAAACATGGTGAAGAAATCCATGTTAAACAGTGGCCATACCGTGTGCACACTTACCGTTGACATAAAGGGTCTGTGTGTTCTGCCTTTGTTTGGGTTCAGATTCCATTTCACCAATATGTAACTTAGCCTGACAAATAAGAACTTTTCCAGAATCTTCAGGGCTGGGGGTGAAAGTCATTTCCAGACTTCTGGTCTCTAGGGATTTCATGTCCGTTTCCTCCAAAAAGTGCTTATTCATCAGAACAGCCTCCCCCTTCAGTAGTCTAATTTCCAGATGGTCAAGGGGGTACACATCAGAAACCGTACAGCTCACCGTGGCAGGGTTCCCATTCACCAGCAAGCCACTCATCTCAATTTCTGGATCTCTAGGGAATGCTGCAAATGTCAAGCAAAACTTACGCTTTTCTTAGACATTCAAAGGAAAACTGAGTTAAACTCTATTAAGTGCAAAGGTTTCAAAATGATAGCTTTAACTCAGCTGAAGGAGACTGACCTGAACACTCACCTAATGACATCAAGTTTACACACATAACTATAATGTTAGTTAAGAGAATGCTGGGAACAAAAATACACAGTACAACAAGGAATGAATTTTTAACTGCCTATTTTTCTCTTCTTAAGATGCCATCTTGTTGAGCTCCTGCGTGATGTTTTCTAAGCATGCTTCGTTTTTTGTCATTTTATTTATTAACTCTATGTGTCAGATGTTTTAAGTAATATCAATATACTGAATGCTTAGTGTGAACTAATCCCTCAGGATATTCATCATGTCAGTCTTCAAACCTGCCTGATAAAGTTGGTATTATTTACCTTATTTTATAGCTTAGGAAAACTGAAACTTTCAGCGTTTAAGAGACTTTTCATTATGCATCATACTTGGTAAGTCCTTGAGCTAAGCTCAAAATCCCTGTTCTCTGACCTCAGAATCCAGGCTCTGCAGCTTCTTGATGCCACATGAGACCCACAAGGCAGTTCTCAATCTAGACAGTTTAATAGCTAATGACTGACTTTAGATAACATTTTAACTATTTCTCAGATAATTCTTGTGATTAAGGAAAGAACTTGTTATTTAGAATCTAATCCTTATAATAGCATTTATATGGATCAATAAATTGAGACTACAATAGCTATTGAGGGCAAATGAGAGTAATGCTTCAAAAACTCTCTTCCTCAAGCAAAATGTTGTTTTCAAATATTTCCGTATCACAATAAAGACTTGGGCACTGGTTCTCATTTCTCTTGGGAATGTGCCTGCATCAGCAGACTCTGGGTAATATGATAAGGCAATAAAATTTACCCTTCCTCTGAGAGATTTAAATCCCTTTACATGTGCACTTTCATTCTGCACTAAATCCTGAAGGGTAGCTCAAGTTTGCACAGGGTTTCTGGTGAAAAATCTTCACAATATGTTCTCTGGAGTTCACTGAATAAACAGGACAGGGTAACATCTCCAAAACAAAAAAATAACTTCATGGCCAGCTAGCATATTTTTTTCCTCACTCATTACAGACTGGGGAACTCTAGCAACACCAAGTTCATGCAGATTTGGAGTTCTTTTATTATGGTGTAGTAAGCCCTTGCTGTGTAAATCAGTTTTAAGATCTGGGGTTGCCTCCAACTTACTGCTACTGACCCTCCTCATCTCCAGTCCACTCTCTTTTTATTTTCAACTTTTCTCTGCTTCCCATTTTCCCCCATTCTACAGATCAGCTTTTCCAAAGTGCCTTTAATACAGTAGGCTCAGACTCTAGCCTCAACTTGAATAGCTGAGTGGCAATCACCTCTACAGTTATACACCTCATTTTCCCATGGAAGGAACGGGAAGGGGGCATGGAGTGTGATAAAATGCGTGATGAGACAGTGTGACAGACACAAACTAAGGATTGTACATTCTGTGTACATATGCAATGCATACTGCCCTTAAGATTTAGGCCAATTATGTTGCATTAAGCTGTTTTGTTTCAGAGACTTAGGAAGTATTTACAATGTTAAATTCTCTTCCTAAACAAATGAATCTCATTGCGTATCACAGACTCTAATTTTTTTCTTCCAATGGAAATGGAAAGCAAAACAATAACCAGTTCTGAAAGTCACTTACAGTAGAGCTCGATGTGGATTCCCTTCTCCTGTTTCTTACGTCCACATGTCACAGTACACAGGTAAGAGTGTTCATTCTCCAAACTCACAGGGCTCAGGGTCAGCGTGGACTCTGTCCCCTCACTCCTCACCTTCCCGCTCAGAGGGCTGTCTATCTGCGTTCTCCAAGAGAAAGAAGGGGACTCACAGCCTGTGACACCACATGTCAGCACGACTGAGTCACCAATCTGAGCAGCAACCCAGGGCCCAGGGGAGATGTCGACAGTAAATGGTTTTTCTGGGAAGGAAAAAAAAAGAACAAGATAAATAGCAGTTACGATTCTTTTCTTCTTTCATCATTTTCTTATATGTGACCTTCATTTATCCTGATGTCCTTTCAGCTTCTATCTGTGTCAAGAAAAAATTACTCCTTTCACTTTGGAACCATCAGGAATGAGACCACACCTTTTCAGGGTGAATCCATGATCACCTAATCAGACGATCAGAATGAATGTAGATACAAATGTCTCAATAGAGTGGTCGGCATTGTTTCATGGCAATAATCCAAACTCTGCTTAGCTGTAGTTTGACAAGTTACTATAATAGTCAACAACAGCTCAAACAATTCTTGTGTGTCAGGCTTCATGCACACCACTTTACATATGTTATTGCATTTAATCTTGACAACAATTTCATGAGCTAGTGCTGTTATTTTCTCTTTGTCTTCACATTCTCTTCTCTATTGAGGCTGAGTTTGCAGCTACCTTATAGAGTTATGGTGAAGTCTGAGAGCATACATAAAATGGAATATAGAACTCCTGCAAATATTATGGGTGCAATCAGCACATGGTCCCATCATTAATCCGGGACTCCATTCTCTTATCTGTAAATGGAGACTAAACCCTTAGTCATTTGTTGAAGATTATAGTTAAGTTATATTAAGTGCCAGGAACACAGCAGGTGTTTGGTAAATGCTGTTATCTAAGAACACCATGTAAAGCCCAACTCAGAATTAATAACTGACAGATTAGCAAGAGGGCTGAAGAAGAGACCAGATGCTAGGGATCACATGGAGATAGACCTGACAAGAGTTGGTGACACAAAGTGGGAGCATGAGTTCAGGAATATCCAGTGTGTAAGAGTTCTGTTCTTGGGTATTTAGAGTGAACAGAGAAGAGGACCAGGTATGGTAACATGAAACTGTCAACATCCATGGGGCAGAAGGAAAGGAGAAAGCCAAGGAAGAAGGCAGTGAGGAAATGATGTCGACTAGAAAAGAATCAGAAAAGCAGAGCCATGGAAGCCATGGGAAGAGAGACTTCCTAACAGAATGAGTGTGATAAATGTATACATTTGTGCTAAAATACATGATGATCAGATGGTCATCAATGAAAGACACAGAAACAATTTCAGCATTGAAATAGTGTCGCTATGGCTCAACTCCAAACTCAGCAACTTTATCATTCTTCTTTCACTTTCTACTCACCTTGAACAATTAATTCCACCTCTTTTCTATTTCTTCCAATCAAGTTAACTCCTTCACACACATAAATTCCAGAATCTTCCATCCTCATGGCAATTAAAGTGAGAGTTGCGTTCCCAGAGAGAAGCTGAACATACTCATTATCTAATTTCTTGCTCCAGAAAATCTCTGGAGCAGGTAAGCCCTCACTAGAACATGTCATTGTCACAGAGTCACCTTCCTGCAGCCTCGTGGAGGGATGCACAGAGATAACTGTGTTCTTGGGTGAGACTGAAAAGGCAGAGCACAACATTAGCAATCACTGAGAATCACCTCCATCCAACAGGGAAATGTACTTCTGCAGACTGCGTGTACACAACTGCACAAACCTGACAAAGCCCGCCATTGCTACAAATGCTGAGTCGTGAAAAAAGTCACTCTCACTTCCGACTAGCTTGATTGAGTTACTTTTTGATGCTTGTTATTTTTATTTATTATTTTTTTGTTTGTTTGTTTGTTTTTTCCTTTTTCTTTTATTATTCATATGTGCATACAAGGCTTGGGTCATTTCTCCCCCTGCCCCCACCCCCTCCCTCCCCCCAACCCCCTCAATACCCAGCAGAAACTATTTTGTCCTTATTTCTAATTTTGTTGTAGAGAGAGTATAATGCTTGTTATTTTTAGATGGACATAACTATTTAGACATTAAAAGGGGCCCTTAGAGTCTCCTACATAAGGAGAGAAATCCCATCTAAGTATCCTTGTGAAGAACTTATCCAAGTCAGCTCCAACACTGACTCAGCAAGGCACCCCATTGTCTTACAGAATGGTCCATCTGACTTTTGAACATCTGTAGTTATTGAGAAATTTCCCTATTGAGCTGAAATCTTCCTTTTTCGTAGCTAACTTTTACACATTGGTCACAGTTCAGCCCTGTGTTGTTACAGAATAAATTAAATCCTTTCACACACAACTGTCTTTTAGTTACTTAATTAGAGCTCCGGTTTCTAAGCTTTATCCTCTCTGGGGAAAATATTCCCTATCTTGATTATTCTTCTCAAAACATTGTTAAAAGCCCTTCCATCTGATTTTGGTTAAATATGTTTTAGTTGGTGCTAGTCCATTTAGATATAGTGTCCAAGGAAGAACACATTTTAGTCTAAAACAGAGCACAGTGAGTCCCCTTGTACACAATTCTAGGACACTAAGACCTCTTTAAATTCCGTGGCAGTCTCAAGGACATGAAAGGCAGTCAAACTCCATCACCTCCCCACCCAATGCATGTATGTACACATGAGTGCAGGTGTATATGCATGCACACACAGAGTAAGCACCCACTTTCTCAAGTTTCTATCTCTATGAAATAATACTTCAAGGCATAGTATAAGAGTTTACAAATTATGATTGAAAACATTTTATCACTTGAGCCTATTTCCTACTACCCAACTAGATATTATTATATTCCCCTTTGATAGACAGGGAAATAGAGAAATTAAGTAACCCTTGGTCACACAGTTGACAGAGCCAGGAATTAAACTCAAGTCTTCTCAATGTGAATCCACTGTTCTTTTCATTTCATAATACTACTGGAAAATACTGTGCTCACAATAAATAAGAACAAAGTGACAAACAGCAAATGAGTTTTTTATTAGCCTGGCTGCTAAGCACATATGTAACCAGGGTTGAATTCTCATTGACTTCCCATAGACTGGACCATACTATACAAATACTTACTGTAGACCTCAAGTTCTTTGGTAGTCTCCCTTTCTTTGGGCACAGAATCAATTTCATCAATGTGTAATTTAGCTCTGCAAACAAGAGCTTTTCCAATATCCTCAATGACAGGAGTAAAGGTTACTTCTAAACTCTTGGTTTCCAGAGACTTCCTGTCCATATCCTCCAGAAACTCCTCCTTCTTCATGAGATGGTCATCTTTCAATAAATCCATCTCCAGCCTGTCAAACGGGTATACATCAGGGACAACACACTTGACTGTGATAGGCTTCCCGACCTCTAGAGGGCCACTCAAATGAATCTCTGGATCCTTTGGGAAAGCTGCAAGACATGAATACATTAAGGGGGCTTTCTGCTTGGGTTGATAAAATGTCTTACTGCTCTAAAACCATGCAAATCAAATCTAATGTTTTTGTTAATGTCATATTAAAATAGCAGAATTAATTGTTTAAGTAGCTTTTTATACCTTAGAAGTAAGATTCAGAATTAACCACATAATAGAGGGTTCTTCAATTTTGATCTGTAAATATTAAAAGTTGTAGGTTGTTAGAGTAAAAGAAGAGAGGAAACCTTAACATTTATTGAGACTTGTATTTGTTGTAGATTTAGAATAAATGATTGTTTTATCCTCACAATAACCATAAGCGATAAGGACCATATTTCTCAGTTAAGAAAATTTGGATTATCATTTGTGCATCTTGCCTGAGGACACACACATGGTGAACACCAAAGCTGGGATTGAAATTTGAGATTTCTATTATTGCGGATTAATACTATTCTCTTGTTTTAGTCAGGAAAGACATAGTTCTATTTTACAATCTTTGCAAAGAATAGTTATGCAAGATATGCTAAGAAATTAAAAGTGACTTTAGAAAGATGGCTTTAAAAATGGTGTCTTTGACAAGAATTCATCCATCAGAAAGACAGATACTTCTGTGCAAGCTTTCAATGCTAGATTTTGCTTCCTGAGATACCTAACTCAATGCTCCAACCAGCATGCTACTGAGCCTTCTGGTCCAGAGGACCACACTGTCTCATCTCCTTCGCACTGGTTACTTTCTTCCTTATACTCTTGTCGTGATGGTAACACAGTGGTAAATTCAAAACTATGTAGTAAGAAGACAAAGGCCCCATGCCAAAGAATATTGCAACCAAATGCAGAATGGAGCAGAACTGCTGAACATAATGAAAAGCAGACATTCTTCCAGAAAAAGAAAAAGAAAAAGAAAAACCTCAGGCAACATAATTAAAGCCAGAAGGGTCTTCAGTTTTTCCTTTTTAAAATCTTCAATGGTTTGGTACTAGTGGGCAAAAGACAAGTAGAAATGATTTCTTATCTGAAAACATGGTATTTTTATTATTTCCACCAATTATTTCTGTTCCTCATACTCTGTAGGAAATATGCATATAATCCACACAATTTTATGACAGGTAATATAAGCACTTACACTTTTCCCTTTATTTACATAAGGGGGCCTTTCAAGGCGCTCAGGAGGCTGTACAGACATAAACTATTCATGTACAACAGCATAATTGAAAGCAGCTGGCTAGGCACAGTTCCTTGGGAAGCTTTAGCAACACATGGGGTTGAAATTCAATTAAGGTTACTGGGCAAAGTTGGGCTTTGGCCCAGTAGAAAGGAACCACTGTAATTATAAGATAATCAAATGAGGTTACCATATCTGAACATAGACGTTTTAGAAAAAGAGGCCATCAATAGCCAAAGGCAAATGACTTATGTAAGGTTGGTCTTTTTAGTCTTCTTGCTAATTTTACTTGCTGAATTGAGAATGGAGTGTGATGCATTTTTGGTAGGCTGGTCCACTGAGGGTATTCATTCACATTAACGAGGTATACCTAACCCATTCTAAGAAGCCCTTTTGAATGTGAGCACCAACACTTTACGGCAACAACAAATTCCTGAATTTATCAACACCAAGGTCAAATGAGTGACATGTTTACAGACACTTTCATTGTGTTTAAGGAGAAACTTTTATACAGAAGCCTATCACTAAATTATAGATTTTGTCCTTAATCTTTAAAGTGATTGCAGGCACCAAACTGCATAAGAATAAATGAATGAAAATTCCCTGCAGGATAAAATTTATAAATCATTTAGATTTGTGAGCAAGTAAACATGGATGGATATAAACAAATGGAAATTAAAAAAAAATTAAAAGAACCTTCAAGATTTCATTTTATAGCTAAGGAAATTAGAACTCATGTCACCATATTTGTGACAGACATGGAAATAGAAGACAAAATTTGGGTTCCTGGTCTAGTGCTGGTCTCAGCTCTCTCTAGGTTTCTTGATGCCAGGTGTTTTCCAGCCAAGAATTTAGGCATGAATATCCTCTAACAATCTAAGGCAAAATTGAGAGCATAAATCAAAGATTTTTTAAAGCACTCACAGTAGATAGCCACCTGGATTTCTTTTTCTAGCTTCCCAGATCCGCAAGTTGCTGTACACAGGTAAGAGTGTTCATTCTCAAAACTAACAGGATCCATGGTCAGCGTAGACTTGGTCCCCTCGTTCTTCACCTTCCCATTCAATGGACTGTCTATCTGAGTTCTCCAGGAGAAAGATGGGGACTCACAGCCTTCCGTGCTACAAGTCAACATGATGGAGTTACCAATTTGAGCCAGAGTTCTGTATTCCGGGGAGGTGTCTATTTTAAAAGCTTGAGCTGCAAAAGCGAAAAAAGAAAACAAGCAAACTTACTGATTTGTCCAGTATTCTCTTTTCTTGTACAATGTCCAAAATACAGCCTGGCTAATCTCCTTCCTAAATTGCCCCCAAATGGACTGCAGGGTGACTAAAAAGCCCTGAAGCCACTGCCAAAGGTGTTGGAATCATCATCACTCATGAGAACTCTGAGTTCTGATCTTGGTGCCCATTTATCAAAGTCATTTTGTTATTCTCTAAGTTTGCCCTCATTATCAAGTACAGGAAACTGAAGAGATAGACCTACTACAGACAGAATCCGATTTTTTTTCCCATTTGACATTGGAAAAAAGATATCAAAACCCATCAATGTGCAGCCCAAACGATGACAATGCAGTGTTCTATTGCAAAACTCAATAGCACATTAAAAATTAGGTTAAATTAGGTTTTCCCATTGTTTAAAACCCTAGTGGCTTTCTTCACGTCCATAGTAAAGCTGACTAAAGCCAAAGCCAAGGCTTAAATGGAATGCTAACGTTTGAAATAGATCAAGAAGAACTTACAAGCTGCAAATACTATCCAAAGTATATTTGAGACTCCAAAGTTCACGGCCACCTTCCCAGGCATTTTAAGTAGCTGCTGTGCTGAGAAGATAATGGTTGGCAAACCCTTGTTTCTGCCCCACTTGAAGGAGCCTGGGAAGTCTTCAGCTCCTACAGCCTGCAAGGTTGATGTGAGTGAAATGGAAAGTCTGCTCTTTATAAAGGGTCTTGCTGCACAGGCAAGCAGAGGGAGGGAAATCCCTTCAAGGGGAAACCCGGGGCAGAGCCAGGGAAAAAAAGTTTAACTGACATCCAGCCAAGTTCCAGGATTAACCCCTTCCGTTAATCTCAGAGCTAAATTACTCTGTCCTGAAAGTACAAGACACTTCCAAGACTATAAAACACAGACTTTTTCTGATCTTCAACTCCAAAAGGATTTCTCTGCTGGAAAGATAGAGGACAATGCTCACTACAGAATGTACTGTTGAAATCCAATGGGGCAGGGGGTGGGGGCAGAGAGACACAGATTACACTACATACATTTAAACTGGATAAGTAACCACTGCCACAGGAACTGATTTTCTCCATTAAGAAAATGTATTTGCAGTTCTAAAATACATATTAAATTTTCTCTTTCAAGAAAAAAAAAATCCAGCACTCCCTTTTGATGAGTCACTTTTAAAAAGCAAGATAGCAAACCTCTTAATATTTTACTTTTTATTCATAAAAATAGTTTTTTTGACAAAAAAAAATCAGCTTTCTGAAATGATTTTCTAGAATGGAAATAAAGGAATATAACTGACTATTAATGCAAAATAAGGGAAATAATTTTCTTATTTTTTTCAGAAAAGTTACCAACCTTTTGTTTCATTGCTGGATAATTGAAAGTCTTTTGCAGACTTGAGTGCAAATGTGTGGGATTTATCTGATAAATCTTTTATGATAAATCTCTCTGGCTGTGTGATTTAACCACAAACCCAATTAAAACATGAAAGACAACTTGGTTTCCCTACAGAAGAGGGATGATAACTAATGTTATATTATTTGTTTTCCTCCCAGTGAAATGAATTTTTAAAGCCTCAGTTAACTGACTGATTTAGTATTGCACAAATAGCCCAAGTCTTTGCAAAATGCTTGTCCATCAAAAAGAAACCGGAATGGAGACTTCCTTGTATTATACACACAGTTTACCTCCCCCATTGGGTTATCAGTTCCTTTCATGGCCAGACCCAGTTCTTGTTCATGGTTGTTTCTATCTCTACAATATCCAATGCATGACTTTGCACTTAGTGGAAATGCAAAACTAAATATTAAAAATCTGGAAAAGAAACTTCCAAAATATTAATAATATGTAAGTACTACATGAGAAAAGTTTTAAATTCTACAAGACAATTCCAAAGCTCCCACCCACAGCTATGTGGAAAATAAATAATCCTGTACTATGTGACAAAGTCCACATGTGAAGTTTGCCCCCACATGTCTGGAGAGGCTTCAGGGCCTCCCCTGGGGTATTGATGTGGCTTCCAGCATGAGGCAAAGAGAGAAAAATGCAGTGGAAGAATATATTCTAAGGTTAGGATGATATGTAAGTGCAATTTCACCCATCAAATGTCTAGGGATCACACAGGTGAATTCAAGCCAAATTAGCTGGCAAACAGTAGCCTAGAGGACCTTCAGCACGTTTGTGTCACTGAAGATTATCAGCATTGTGAGAGTTCACTGCTCAACTTTAGGATGGATCTAAAGGCTGTTAAGGAGTAATACATTTCTCTGAGGCTCAAAGACAAATGACCAATAGAATCCACAAGGGAGGGCTGAGGATAGGTAAGACACCTAAAAAACTAGCTAGCATTTGTTGCCCTTAACGCAGAGAAACTAAAGCAGATACCTTAAAGCAACTGAGGCCAATAGGAAAAGGGGACCAGGAACTAGAGAAAAGGTGAGATCAAAAAGAATTAACCTAGAAGGTAACACCCACACACAGGAAATCAATGTGAGTCAACTCCCTGTATAGCTATCCTTATCTCAACCAGCAAAAACCCTTGTTCCTTCCTATTATTGCTTATACTCTCTCTTCAACAAAATTAGAGATAAGGGCAAAATAGTTTCTGCTGGGTATTGAGGGGGAGGGGGGGAGAGGGAGGGGGTGGAGTGGGTGGTAAGGGAGGGGGTGGGGGCAGGGGGGAGAAATGACCCAAGCCTTGTATGCACATATGAATAATAAAAGAAAAAAAAAAGAAAATCATAAAAAAAAAAAAAGAATCCAAAATGGGATCACGATGACCAAGTCATGATATACTACTTCAGTTTTGAGTTTGGGTATGAGTCCAAGCTTGGAACTTGGAAAAAGTGCCTAATCTATTTGTTTCACTCCTAGTGGTCTCAGCAAATATTTGATGAAGCTTTTTATTGTTTCTTGAGTTGGGTGCCACCTGAGGGCCTACCTGCTCCTCTCAAGTGAAGGTGATTGTACCCTCTTCCATGGCCTCCCTACTACAAGTGCATACCAACAGAGCTCCTGTGAGTCTGTAGTTACCTGACAACACGTCCAACTTTCTTAATCTGATAACTCATATGGTTTCATTTTTTTCATCTTAGCATCTAAGTCAGAATTAGGCATTTCTTAAAGTTTATGGAATGAATGAATGAATAACTGAATAGTATTACAGTATATGGTTAGCAGATTAAGACTTACCTCCCTGTCTGAATAGAATATCACTGGCTTTTGTCTTTGAACTTGCTCAGTTAAACATTTCTATCAGTAACATGGAGCACATGGTTACCTGATTTTTTTCATAATGTAAAACTGGGATAGTTAACCTTAGAGGTGACAGAATTAAGACAAGGAGGGTCTCAAGAGATGCAGTAATGGTCCAGATGGTGATGTAAAATGTAACAGGAGTGCCTTAAATTCCAGTATGTAAGTGTGAAGTATCAAAAGCTAGAGTATAGCAGGGGCAGGTTTGACTTGGTCATCACTCATGAGAAGGTGCTCTAGTAGTTTTGGTCAACTATGAAGTGAACATGAGCTTACATTGACACAAGAAAGCAACCTCACTGTGATGAGTTCAGGTTGTACTCATAGTAACTCAGCCTAATTGCTGAGGCCATGATCTCTGAGCACTTGCACATTCTCCAGACCATCTTGGGAGTCAGGGTGTCCAATTTGGGGTACCATTCCTTAGGAGAAAGACTTCACATAATAAAATGTTCCTGAGAAAAGTGATGAGGATGGTGAATAGCTTCAAAATCCCTACCCAGCAGGAGCTATTGAAGAGTGAAATGGAGAAGAGACACGTCTGAAGCAGTGTGATGCCCGAATGATTACTGGCGAGAGAGTTCTTTTTCTGTTATAACAAAGGCTAAAAGGTGGACTCACAGGTGAGTAGTTACAAGATTATCTGTTGTAGAAGGGCCAGCAATGTGTGTGTCCTATGCACTGTTACAGCTCTAGCATTTAACACAGTGACAAGTAGAAAGTAGGGCTCAGCAAAACACCACTGAATATATTTGAAAAACAGCTTAACTTAGAACCAATAGCCCTGAGTTCAAATCCAGCTATTCTACCTAAGAATATTTAGTCTTTCTGAGCAGGTTTATATGCGTTCAGCTAGGAGGAGTAGTACCATTTCAACTAATTCACATGATTTTATGATCAACCAATCAAAACTGACCAGGTGAATTCTAAATAAATAGAACAGAGTGTTATATAAATGGTAAGTAGTAATAAGATACAGCCATATTAAGTTCATAGATGAAGGACTTTCCAGTTATTAAATCTGTTCAACAAGGTAAGGGCTGACTTGGGAATGCAACAGCTACAAGTCACCTGAAAATTTAAAAAATTTTTATTTTATTCATATGTGCATACAATGTTTGGGTCATTTCTCCCCCCTTCCCCCCTCCTCCTCCCTTACCCCCCGCCCCCCGCTCCCTCCCTTACCCCCTTACCCCTCACTACCAGGCAGAAACTATTTTGCCCTTATCTCTAATTTTGTTGTAGAGAGAGTATAAGCAATAATAGGAAGGAACAAGGGTTTTTGCTAATTGAGATAAGGATAGCTATACAGGGCGTTGACTCACATTGATTTCCTGTGCGTGGGTGTTACCTTCTAGGTTAATTCTTTTTGATCTCACCTTTTCTCTAGTTCCTGGTCCCCTTCTCCTATTAGCCTCAGTTGCTTTTAAAGTATCTGCTTTAGTTTCTCTGCGTTGAGGGCAACAAATGCTATCTAGTTTTTTGGGAATCACCTGAAATATTAAAAGTTTGGATAATATCTCTCAACAATGTGATACAAGTCAGATTTTGCCTTGTACAAGATATCTAGCTGGATGCCCACCAAGTTCCCTCCAAGGCTAACATTCTGTTTTCACGGTCAGTGCTGTCTGTCTCTCGCAGCCTAACATCGATAGTCCGCTCACTGTTCCTTTGAAATTGTGGGCATCTTTTGATGTGGCTGGGGTCGAACTCTGAGATGCTGAGATATGCTTCTTTCATATGAAATAAACATGAATTTCTTTCACATCATCTCCATCCCTGTCAAGGATTCCATGAAGTTAATTTAACATGAGCCTCCCTGGAACAGAGATTCCTAACCTTTTTTCTTAAGTGGCCCAACACATCTAAGGGAAGCAATCTTCCCGCAGCAGCCAGTGTGGCTCATTATTGTAGCAGTGAAAGAAAGAGTAATGCCTTTTTGCAGAGCATATCAAATGTAGCAAGGAAATAAAAAAAAAAATGACGTGCAAGATTCTACAATGTTGAAGCCTTCTTTGTTTGAGAATCACTATGCTAGATAGATTTTCACAACTTACATCTGTGATTCCATTTATAGCTATATAAATCTTTCACAATGACATCTTAAATAGAGGCCTGAGTCTGAAATTTAAGTCTGGATCAGCTATTTGAAGAAAACAATGAAGACCAACATTAATTCTACTTCTGATTCTGTAATTCTTATTATGTGACTTACTCTCCTGATCTAACATGGCTGTTCCATCATTAAGCATTACATCAATATTTCAAATAGGAAACAGGAAAAAGTGAAGGGCAAGAAGTCAAAGCCAGTGTCCCTTTTTTAAGAGATTCCCAAGAAGTCTCAAACAGTAACTTCCACTGATATATCATTGAAAGAGAGGATATTAAGTAATTCAAGTCAATACATTCATGCCCCCAAATA